CAGCCTGATCTAGTGGGAGGTGTCCCTGCTCATGGCAGAGGGGTTGGAACTGGGGGATCCTTGTGGTCCCTTCCAACCCTGACAGATTCTGATCTGTTTTAGCAGAGGACTTTAGAGCCCTAATGGCTCAAGGGTTGGACTTGATGATCTTGGAGGTCCCTTCCAACCTAAAGGATTCTACGAAGAGGAACGGAGTCCAGGCGAGCTGCAGGCAGAGGAGCACCCAACGCCCGGGGGGTGCCCCTGCCCCAGCGCCGTGGGCAGAGCTGGCACTGCCCCAGCACGTTTTGCTTTCCAGGAAGAACCGCTGTTTCCTCCGAACCGCCTCGGAGTGAGCTGTCCCCGTGGGCAGCTCCCAGCACTGCCAGCACTGCCCCCTCAGCCTGGGAGGTGTTCAGGGACCGCTCAGCAGCCGGGACAGCACATCGAGCACCAGCCCTGCTGAGACTCTGTCACAGGCACTGAGGAAAGGACTTAGAGCTTGAGAGTGTCCTCACCCGGGCTGCAGCACACGCCTCAGGACGACCCTCTGGCCAAGCTCAATAAAAGGACTCTCCAGCCCCTCCTCCCTTAGTTTTTTTTTTTGTAATGGGTCGTTTTATTTTTTTAAGGCACGAATTAAAAGTTTCTGCTCAGCAAAGCACCTGGGTTCTCCTGGCATCCTGTGGGCAAAGCGCGTGGCGGGCACGGTGGGAGCTCTTCCTTCACTCTGGCCTTTGGACACTTCTCCTTCCACCTGCCAAGCGCATGGAGCAGCTCAAGCTTCATCTGTCAGTCCCAAGGGCTGAACTCTTATCAGTGCTCCAGATAAAGGCCTGTTAGAAAGAGGGAGCAAACAAGCTGATAATACTGATAGCATGCTCCAGAGCCCAAACACAGCCCCAGATAACGGGGAGGAGAAGTATTTACTTTTAATTACCTCTAATCAAATTTACTTAAATAAATGTCCCAGACTGACTTTTGCCACCGAGGCGTCTCCGCTCTTAAAACAAATCGATGAAAAGCCCATTTTGAGCTGGTGCCTGTTACCTGGGAGGGCTGGCTGAAACAAAGCCCCTTTTGCTTAGGCAGGTGTCACTGAGGCTGGGACACGAGCTGGTCTCCTTTGGTTCCACACAGAGCACTAGGATCAAAACAGAAAACTGCTTAAAAACCACAACCCCCGGGAGGAGAGCGGCCGCGCGACAGGGACGAGCACAGTGGGTTGGAAGTTTAATACAGAAAATCTATTTGATATTTATTAAACTTAGTTTCTCCAGTTACAGTTTTGCATTGTACAAAGCATTTTAATGACACAGTAGTTAAAAAGATCTTTACAAATTGAAATGTGATACCCTTTTCTCCAAATATTTTAATTGCCATAAATTTGTTTAAAAATACACATTAAACGCATGTTTCAGACACTAAACTTTCTATAATCTCAATACCACAAAATACATAGAATATACTATACAGATGTGGAAAAAATCTAGTTAGTATATAATACTTTGCTCACCATTAACAGCTTTATTACGTGAAATGCACATACTGACTTAGAAATCCTAATTTTGAGCCCCAAAGTACCCTTTGAAATTTCAAATGTATTGCAACAAATAAAATCACAGTTGGTTTTTTGTTTTCTTTTCTTTTTTTTCTCCAAACGTTTTGGTTGAAGACAGGTGCCTAAATATTTTGATAGAAACAAAACGTAACACATGGACTTGTCGTGTACAAAGCATGGAACAGAGACATCCCATTAGTTACTAACAGTACCTCTTCTGTAGCATCAACAAGGGCTTCAGTTATAAGTGACAGGTTAAAAGTTATCGTCCCCCACCCACGTGCCCTCCCCCAAAAGAAAAAAAAAACCCCTTCTTCACCAAATAATAATTTCAAATAAGATAAAGGATTTTTAATAAATATATAAGCACTTTATCCTCCATATACAAAATTTTTTTTTTTTTAAAACAATTTCAAAGGGGGGGGACCAGATACAAATGTCAGGAACTGTGCTTGCAAAAGTCACGCCTGGTCCTTAAGAGTTGAGTTTTGGGGTGTGAAAAGGCCAGTGCAGCCCAAAGCGATTTTTTTTTGGCCCCCCTCTCTGGCAGGGGCAGGGGCAGGGGCAGGCAGAAAAACCAAGAGGGGGAAGGCCACGTCCTGGTCTGCCCGTGGCAGCTCCCCCAGCACGCGTGGGGCGGCACCGGGAGCGGGCACCGGGGTGGGCAC